CGCACAGGCTAAGAAGGTTTCTCATTCCTTGCTGCAACATGTCCGTGAGAGAGTACCCCCGAAGAAAGTAAACTTAATTGGAGGGATCGTAAGGAAGAACAGTGAATGGTAGCGTTTTGATGCCATAAAAACTCAAGAACCGCGATACATCTGCCTTTCCGTCCCCGAAGGGATCGGAATGGAATTTATAAGAAGGCGGGAAAGAAACATAAAACCCCCCACGCGAAACCGCGAAAGTGAATATCCTCGATGCGCCTGGAGCATGGAATGGAGAACACACCCAAGTGTGGAGGTGTGGACAGCGACATAAGTTACCTACAGTCTCAGCATTCCCCATCGTAAAGAGCACTTTCCCAGCCGCTCGATGAGCCATTCTCTCACCCCAGACGTAATTCGATAAAAGGCTGGATGGCAGCCAGACGGAGCTCATGGCCGGAAGCACCAAGCCTTCCCCGTTCGTTAAAATGTTTTGAGATGAAGCAGACGCATGCGAGAAAACCTCGTTCGAAGACTTGCCAACAAAACCTGAGGTGATGACGGTTGAGTACCAGATCCAGTCGAGAAGAAACGTGTCTAGGCATGAATCTGCGTTTCGATGCCCCCCCCCCCCCCCCAAAAAAAAAAAAATTACTCAAAAGAAGTTTCATTGCGAATTCCAATTGTAAGGACTGATACCCTATCTTATATCTTGCCCCCCAAGGTCCCCTCTTTCCCGCGCGGTCCCACCCACCCAATCCGTCAACTCCACAGGAGCACCCGCGACCCCACACGGAGCTCGCCACAAAAAAGACGCCGCACGCACTCGAAGAAAACCAGAACCGTCTCGAGATCGATCCCACGGCACTGATAAGTGAGACAGATAAACAACCCGCCTCCTCGCGACCGACGAGACGACCGCGGAACGACACGGCGACGACCCGGAATCGAACGAGATGTCTTTACCTGCGGAAAAAGCCCTTGGGTGGAAACATGACCGGGGCTCGCCCCTGCACATCCGAGAGGCCCGAGATGAGGCTTGTAAGACGAGGCACGAGAAGGAAAAAAAAAAGAAAAAGATTTGAGTATTTAAAACATCTTTTCACTTCCTCTTCCACCCTCGCCCGCACTGGGATCTTTACCGCGGTTACACACCGGTTGCAGACTCCCTGGAGTCTTTCAATGCGGTTGACCTCAAAATGCAATTACGATCGTATCGTTCCCCCGGTGAGACATACTTTCCCTTGTTTCCCTTTCGATAGCCAATGTCAACCTGACACGATTTGAAATCCGTGCTCAAGCCTGCTGAGAGCTAGAAAAACTCACCGATGCGAAACCGGCTCAAACACGATTCGTCAAGGAACACCGATGATAATTTTCTCGTGAGAACAAGTCGACACGACGCAAGGCCGTATCCTCATGAACAAATCCAAGAAAATCTCTGACTTCTAACGTTCCCTGCAATTAATCGAGACCAGCATCTAAATGCATCTCATCGGGCATCTGGACTTCCAAGGAGAAGCTGGATTCGACCACGAAGTGACAAATGAGAACGGCGTTTGCCCTTGGAGGGGAGGAATTGATCACATCACATTACATCCATCACGTGCCGGCCTGTCGTCAGCAACACATCGACTGCGGAAGCGCATTAGAGCTGGCAGCTATGACAGGGCGTAAAGAGGATTCTGTCTCGACCGAACACGAGTCGAGGACACGTCCCCCGGTGACATCTTGTCTCGGTCGACTCAACGAGCGTTCACTCAAACCCATAACAGATGGCAAGGGAGGAAGCGACGACCTCCAGGGAAAGTCTCTTGGAAACCCTCCAGGCGGGACGGCCAAATGGGTCCGAGATGAATAAAATCATTTTCCTCCGCAGCTGCATAAACTGTACGGCATAATCAATTTCATGAAAAACTATCACTCTTAATCATATTGTCGCCAAAATCTCACGTCGCGTTCCCTTCTTCACTTACCGCATCCTTAGACGCAGTTCAAAGGTGCGGCATGTAATTCGTGTAATAGCCCGGCGGGGTCCTCCCCTCGACCCAATTACGCCAGGAACAGGGGCCAATTTCAAAAGGACCGATGGGAAATTCCCGCCGTGACTTGGACGAGATGAGAGCTCAACGATATCCATCATCACGGTCACTGAACTTCCTTTCGCCGTTCTTCCCCCCCGCGTGGGAGTCGCACGCGACTCTACAGGGACTAGTCAACAATGAACGACTTGTTAGCGGCATGATGCAACCGAATTCACGAGGGCCAGTAACCCCTTCGCCTGAGGGGGGAGCGGGGCCACGAGGCTTTTTCCACGAGACAGTGGAGACGCCCCGCGATGCGAGTAAACATGGGCGAGGCCGGGGATTGCCATCCTCGAGTACAAGAACATGCAATGGCTGCGTTTAGGGGGGTGGAGCTCCACCACCCTGTTCCTTGTAAAGCTGCTCATATGGAAAATATGTACTCTATAAGGACATTCGAATAGAAGTACCGGTACTGGGATGACTGTATTTCTTGCTGAGGGTGATTAAAACGCAACAAGATACGAATGCAAATGAGAGATATGCACAATGAATCCTTTTACACATAAATATGTTCTATTCTCCGCTGGCATTGCATTGTAATCACATAATCACTCTGCCAGAGGAGCCAACATGCAGAAAACTTGGCTGCTTGAACCACAGTAGTTCCCTTTGCACTGTAGCAAAACTTCTGGACTAAAAAAAAAAAAAACAACAGAAACTTTCAATAAGAACGAAATATGTTTAGGATTTGGGTAAGCATGGAAAAGAATTAATTTCAGGCATTTTTGAACACCTTTTCAGTCCTTTGATTACTTTGACCCATGGATTCATTTTGCTTATTTGGAGTGGGATTACCTCCAATATTCAAAGCACATTTATGCTTAAGAATACAATTGGGTCATGTTACCAAGTAAACATTCTGCAGGTCTTTGCTCATGAGGGGTCCTCTTGTTTGATGCAGCATCACCTGCATCTACCAATACAATTAACTACTCCATGTCTTAAATTAATTCCATGTATCATGAACACAGTAACTGTTATCAGTACAATGAGAGGGTCTATGAAATACAATGCACAAGGGGATTATCTGATCTGGACAAGTGAATGAGTCACTCCAGCAGACTGAGAGACAAGGCAGAAGCTATAGATACACCAATGTCCAAGTTCTTCCACACACAAGCATGAATACTATTTTGAGTGCCCTGTGCTCAATTAGGAATGGAATATTTTGCAAGAGTTTCACATGAATACATAGAAACTTTCTGCTTTTCAGTCATTGTATCATTTTGTGAAAAACTTGTGGGAAGAGCAAATAGTTTCCTTCTTTACAACCTGGTCAAGATGACAACAAATTGCTCACAAGTTGAAAGGTCTCCCTGAGCTTGCATTCAAAGATTTACAGCAGATACAATATTTCAAAACAAATGCACCTGAATAAAACATAACTGAGAAATGCTTGCATCCTTGCAGATCAGATGTGCAAGTTCAAGTCATTCAACTGAAGAAAGTTCCACTTAAAATTCATTCAGAGCAATGTCTTTCTACATTTTTCATTAGAATTAATGTCCTGCCTCAATTTTTGTTACCATCTCATTCCTGTCTATCCTGCTCTGTAGTGTGGGATTTCTAATGTGGTCTATATAAATAATGAAAATTACCTAATTGCATACTGTCAGGTGCAGAGCCCAGACCTCTGCAGCCACAGAAAAACCATTTAGAAAGTGGAGGATGTTTGAAATAACCATGGGTAAGATGGCACTATATCCTCACAGCAGAATATTGGCACAAGCACATGCAGTGGCCTCCAAAACATCAATGAAAATGAAACTAACTAAAAATTTAAATATCATACAGCAATTGTTGGAGAGGTCACATTCCATACTCTAAATGCTCAAAGAAGAATTTGAATTCCTTTATGGACAACTAATAATAAGCTTAGGCATACCTTTCAGGTTGATGAAGGAAACTTCAAAATCAAAGAAGCATACCACCCCAAGTATTGAGAATGAATACTCCTGACACCTTCCCTTGGCTTTTCTTATCGATTGGCACCGTTTGGCTATTGCCTTGGCCAAGTCTTAGCATGTGATAATCTGACCATTGTCTATGCTATGTCTATATAAAAACGTATTTGTCTAATTTTAAGATGAAACAAGAAAACCACTGGAAAAAGGATAATGAGACTATTCCTTGTGAAAAGCCAGTCAAACAGAGACATTTTCCCTCAAGGGAATGTTTTTCATTGAATTTCATAATCACTATCTACACTTTGATTAGCACAAATTAGAAGAAAGCATACCCATCTGTGGCCGTCATTCATACTCGTCCTAAGTTTCCTTTCCAATCGTCAATCTATAAGTCATATCAATCAATCTATACTCCTACATTCAGCTATGAAACCAAAGCCTATTGAGATAAATGAGTGATATGTATGCTTCGACTAAAAATTATGGCGGAAATATTTAATAATCAATGGCTGACCATAGAATATGACCTAACGTAAACCAGCCAAAATCAATGGGTTTCACCGGTCAGGTGTCAATCAAAATGATGAATCACTCACCTTCGTGAAAAGTTCCACAGTCGTCATTCCGCCAGCACTTCTTCACGTCGAAAGACGTTAGACTTTAAGATAAGTTATCTTCATTCATGATAAGCGAGACAGAGCGACAGGCGGGTAAGCCTGTGACTTAATCATGCGGAATCTCGGCTGTCGGATCATATGGTGACTCACTCTGCAGGCCTAGGCCTACAACCCTCTGAGGAGACCGCCATAAGACAACACCTGCGTGGAAGTCGGGCATCGATCCCCACTCAGGTCAAGCGTCTTTTAAGAAACAGAATAAAATTCATTTCATTTTCAGAAACTTTCCAAAAATTTATCGCGAGGGAGGTTGTATTTATAACTTCACTTATGGCAGAAGAAACCCATACATGAAACTAAAAGGCATACATGTTCAGGAACCATTTGGCAACACTGGGGATTTTTCCGTGCTCGTCTGCGCCTGCAGCACGTGGGAATCGGTCGCCTTGGTACGAAGTTTTTTGCTTCGACTAGGCCCTTGACGAGAGCCATTTAGTGGATATGAAGTTGGTGAGTTCACGGAGTACAGTTCCTATGTTTCTCAAGTCTTGCCAACTCTGTTGACTGAATTCATGTAATATTTGCAGCTGGGCCCGAGTATCGTGGGTAATTAGCAATATAATAGTTGACGATAGCTGGCTTTATTAGGTTTCTGTACCCTCTTGGGAACCAGTAAAGAAAAATGGAACAAGTGAACAATAACTCACGCAACATACTCTTGTAAGTATGTATTAATCGACGAAACACATCAAAATGATTTGAAGGATAATGGAGTTAACAGAATCAGCTGTTTATGGAGGAACCCATGATGATATCAAGGCCAAGTTTCCAAGAACTGATATGAGTAATATTATGAAATTATGATAATGAATATATGAGGTGTCCTTGGTGTTGAATCCTATATGAAAGGGGCAAAGCATAGAAGAGATCCTAGTCTGAAGTTCTCAGACTTGGCCTATAGTATTAGATGTCGATATTACAATTTACCATTTCCCTTCAAGGCTAACTAAAGTAGCATATCTAGTGGGGCTGGCATAGGCATGGCTTTGACTGTCTCAGGCTAGTAGAGTGGCTATTAAGTCAATGCATTTTGCTTTTCCTCTCACAGTACTGTCTGAGTCAAGATCCAAACAAGTCATGTTTGGTACTGAAGTATCGTGGGACAACATTGATGCTAGACTGTGGGCTGGACATCTGCACCATCCTGAATTATCTGCCCATTCCCTTAATTCCATCTTCCAGGCTTGCCTCTCTACCCACATGGAAGCCTAAAGATCAAGTGATTCCTCAGCTTGATGGAGTAAGACATGCTTCTGGCTGTGCTGCATCATATCTTGAACTTGTAGTTTGACTGCTAATTTCATGTCATTCACTTCCAGGTTGTCCGTGAATGCTGCAATCGCTTCTTTATTGATGGGGAACCCGAATTTGGCACACCTCAGGATGGGATCATTGATGTCTCTGATATTGATGCAGTCCTCATCTCAAATTACCTATCTATGCTTGCCCTCCCATTTGTCACAGAGAGCCCAGGATTCAGGGGTGCTGTGTATGCCACAGAACCTACTCTACAAATGGGAAGGTTTGTTTATTCTCCCATTTATAATCATGGCTTTTGTTTCTGTCTCTAGAGTCAAATACAGAACAATTTGCATCTGTTTTAGTGCTTTGTTAGTGTGTGACAAACATTCATTTGATGTTTTATTGATTAGCATGGATTTGGAATGCCTATATTTTACTAGTTTCAATCATTCTATAGATGTATTAAATCATATTATTTGGGAATCTATGGTAGAATCTGTAGTGATGAATTTATTTAATTACGTTTTTATTCTCAGATATCTATGTAGTCAGTATATCACAGAAGTTTGTCTCCTTGCTGAGATTCACTCATGTTTATTCTCACCATCTTGCTATATTCCCATGACCAGGTTATTCATGGAGGAGATCCAGGAGTATCTTGAAGGCAGCAGCAAGCACAATGACAAAGATGGATCATGGAAGGATTTTGTTCATCTCCTCCCACTTCCATTCAATCAGATGGGATTCCAGGTGCACTCCTGGAAAAAGCTATACTCCAGGGGTGTCTTGAATGCTTCACTGGCCAAAATCCAAATTGCTGGATTTAGTCAGTCTCTGGTGAGTCTCCAAAGGCTGAGCGATCACTGAATCTCTTATATTTGGTGGAATTAAGTTTTTTCCTTACCTGGATATATGTTTGGAGTGTTTTCATCTGTTTCAGGATGTGTTTGGAGCTTTGAAGGTGTCCCCAGTAAGTTCAGGGTTTTGCCTAGGTTCATGTAATTGGCTCATCACCTGCAGTCATGAGAAGGTAGTGTACGTTTCAGGGTCCTCGACCCTAACTACCCATCCAAGGTCCATCGATCAGGCATCCTTAAAAAATGCTGATGTCCTCATCCTCACTGGGCTCACCCAGACTCCAGCATCCAATCCGGATGCAATGCTAGGGGATTTCTGCATGACTGTTGGTAAGTCATGACAAATTTCAAGAAAGTGATTATGATGTCTCACTTACATTGGCATTTCAAATTGGTTTTCTCCATTTGGAAATTGGAATAATATGCTAAAGGATTCATGAGCTTACTAATAAAATTGATTGAATCTCTTTTAATTGAAATGTGATTGATGAGCAATGTTTCACATTGAAGTGTTTGCTGTTATGACATGGTATGAGACTCATATCTATTTCAGCGCTGACAGTCAAGAATGGGGGAAGTGTTCTTGTCCCATGCTATCCTTCTGGAGTAACTTATGATCTTTTTGAGTGCCTCTCATCTCATTTGGAGACATCCTCCCTCAGCCACATTCCCATGTACTTCATCTCTCCAGTTGCAGACAGTTCTCTTGCATACTCCAACATCTTTGCAGAATGGTACTAAGACTAACAGACTGTGTGTCAGTCATCCATTCCTTTCCTTGTTGAAATTGTTCCTGTTTCTCATTTGGAAGGTTGTCGCAGTCGAAACAGAGCCGAGTCTATCTCCCAGAAGAACCATTCCCCCATGCTCACTTGGTGAAGACAGGTCGTCTGAAACCCTTCAGGTGTTCATCCTTCAAAGAATATTGTAACACTATAACAATTGGATTAGCATGTACCTTTGTTGTTCAGTTGTGATTTGCTCTTTTCAGGTCAGTGGAAGATGAGACCCTGAATGCAGACTTCAGACAGCCCTGTATCATGTTTTGCGGTCACCCTAGCCTACGCTTTGGGGCAGCTGTCCACTTCACCATGCTCTGGGGGAGCAACCCAGCCAATACAATTGTTTTTACAGGTGAGAATCATCAGGATTTCAACTGGTTGGCAAGGGATGAAAGGAAATTTCAAATTCTCAGTGAAGCAGTTATATATATTGTCATCCTTCAGAATGTGATCTCACCATAACCTGATCCTGCTTCTTCCCATCTAGACTTCAATGAAAAAACCCTATAACTCCCTTAAGTTCACAATTATTGTTTTGGCAGCATAAGAGATGATGGAAGAAAAGAGTTAAGGATGGTGTTGAACAAGAAAAGTTTCAGGTAATAAGATGAATGGTAGCAAAATATTTTCCCACTGGTTACTTTCTCGAAATCTAACAGTTTTGCAATTTTACATTGTTCATTAATTTTCAGTTTTGCAATTTGAACCATCTTATACACAGGTAGGACCAAAATTTCTTGCTGATTTAATTTTGTGATTGAAGTCATAAAAATAAAATGAGTGGGAAACTTTTTCACTGCATTATATTCTGCTATGTTGACATTCACAATCAGGTTTCACATGAAAAGAAACATGTGATGGCAGAGTTATACCAATTAAAACTGACTTATTTCTTTTTACCTTAAGCTGGAAAATTATTATATGACCCATTCATGTCCTTGATCCTTGAGCATTTTATTTACTGATCCTTATAGAACCTGACTTCAATTATCTGGAAGCACTGGCACCCTTTCAACCGTTGGCATTGAAGTGTGTCCACTGTCCTATTGATACATGTCTGAGCTTCAGCCAGGCCAATAAGCTTGTGAGGGATCTACGCCCTGGCAACCTGATAGTTCCTGCTCAGTATCTTCAGCCACCTTTGTTGCATCCTCAGACAGATTTTGTCATCAATGCTGTGAGTTAGTCAAGATTATTGTAGGTGGTCATAATGCTTAATGCAATGTGAAATTCTTCAATGTGTTGCATACTGGATTCATGTCATACAACTGGGAGTTGCATTTGGATTGTTGCAAGAATCTTGCAAATTTAGTGTCAAGTGATGATTCATCCTTTGGAGTGATATGTTTGCAAGTGTTTTGTCACTGCCTATATGGAATAACATGCTTTTCCAAAAGGAGGATTTGTGTTAGTGTTTATATAAATATGGGGACCATAATAATTTATATTAACTGTGATTTAAATTCCATTATAGTCCTATTTTCTACTGAAGTAAATCACAAAATGTTTTTATTTTTCCTGTTCAGCCAAGTAGTGGGAGTGTGGTGGGTTTTAGACCATTGGAGGTGGTGAAGGTGCAGGTTGGGAAAGGGAAGGATGGTTGGGAAGCCGGGGAATTGGATCCTCGGCTGGCGAAAGACCTCAAGATGTGTCAGGTGAAACCTGGCGTTCAAGTTGCCACCATAACAGCACTCCTTGATGTAAAGGACAACCGATATTCTATTCGGGTGAGTTTTTGGCCCTTCAAAGTCCCAACCTAAGGGAGTGTGGACATTGCACTCTCCCACTTTCACCTGAGGTCATTCAAGGTCTTTCAGAGATTAGTGGTATTCTACCAATGGCTTGTATAGACTTTTTTTTATTGTCAATTTTTTGAAGAATTTGAACATTATATCTGCAGCTTTCCCCTTGTGAAGTACTAGCCAGTCTTTACTTCTACTGGGAGTGGAATGAAACATGACTTCTCATTTTTGTCAACTTTTTGTGACTATATGGAATCTTTTCTATCATATTTCTATCCAAGCATCACTCTCAGAACTCATTTCCCATGTGATTATCATCAATTCACTAGATTAATGAATCAGTATTGCCATACCTTTCCAATTATAAGTTATTGAAATAATTTTAAATTTATTATTTAGACCTGTATTTTCTTTTTTGTGTTGTTTTCTTTGCACAGAAACTCAGGAATATAAATTATTCAGTAATTGAAGGAAATGAAAATGAGAAGGTATAAAAAAAAGTGTAGGGATTTCATTCTGGGTTTTGGGGGAAATATCTTTTTTTATAATGCAAGAAGTCAATCTAGACCAGGGGTGTCAAACTCAAATCGGTCGGCGGGCCACATTCCTTACCCTGCAGATGCCTGCGGGCCACACCCATAATTTTTTGCCGAAATTTGTACTAACTGTCAATGCAAGCGGAAATTTCAAGAACAGATGGCGGGCCGGATCCGGCCCGCGGGCCGTATGCTTGACACCCTTGATCTAGACCATGTAAAAAATCATCTTCTGGCTATTTTTGTTAGAAATGTGCAATTTCTAGCAAAAATGGCCACTGGCTATGTTAGAAACAGTTGATTTTTCCAGCTTGTTTCTATGTCACTGTGACATATGATACTATAGCAGTAGGGTATAATATGCCTTTTTAAATTACCAACTTGAAAGGTTAAGCATTTGCCTTCTCTCTTAGTGAACCTTCTTTCAGAAAGGCATTCTACAAGGTGTTTTGTATTACAATATGTATCTGCACTTCTTTGTCAGTAGGGCAAAATCATTCATGAACAAGTGTAAAAATATTCCTATTCAATCTTTAAATTTTTTCCACAGCACAACTGTGAGAAACTAACACAGATTTTGTTTTTTGAACACTTTATCTGATTATTATAGTGGCTTAAATTAATTTGAAATTTGTGAATTACCCTGAAGATACACTGGATGAACATCCTCCCTTCCTGTTCATACAACTACCACACACCATATCATGCACTTTCCTCACTTTACTCTCTATGTCCCCCATTATTGGAAGTGGCATCAGTGTAGAGAGACCAATAAGTGGTTTAAATTTCTGATACAGTTGGTTCAAAAAATGAGAAACCAATCATTAATATGTTCAGTTTGGAAAAGGAATGTTTGAGAACAACTCTTTTCACTGGATTGGGACCCTCTCCCAAATGGTAACAATCAGCCATGTGATATGTTGCCACACCTCAGGAAAGATAAAAAAACAGTCTATGCTATCAAGCCCACAGCTTACTCTTTTAGTCTCACAGGGTAGATTCATTATTTTGCTACTTAAAAAAAAAAACATGGTATTTTTTGTAAGTGTAACATATTTCTCTGCTGATTCAGTGACACTCCCATGCCAGTTTATCAATAATGTCTTACATTCCATTTCCTACCCTTCAACCATTACATTGTGGATTTGATTTTGGTTTCCACCAGGCTCTACCACAGAAGCTGGGTGAGGATCAGACGAGTTCCTTGGAGGCCGGGATGAACAATAAGCCGAAGTTCTATCCATGGGGTCCCTTGGACATCACATCCCTTGTTCAGAAGCTCACACAGGAAGGCATTGTGAATGCCAAAGTCGAAGAGACTGCTTCTGGCTATATAGTCCTCCTGGTCAGTCTCTCCAAATTCTTAAATTTCAAGTTCTCTCTAAATCCTTTGCAGTATTTCTCAAAGAACACCAATGAATTGGTGTTCTTTGAGATTGGGCCATGAAAGAAAAATTTTAAGTCAACTCCGCAAGTGATAGGAGATAATGGGATGCTGTGGGAAACCGAATTTTTTGTTGCCTTATGGATGAAACTCCATGTAAGTTGTCTGACCAAGCCATATCACCCTTGACCTCTGCAGGAGGTTTGGTTACAGTGTTGCTACCTAGGTAGAAACAGTCAGTTTTATTCAAATTTTCTGAACTTCTACTATTATTATGCTTGCTTGTTAGGATAATTGACCCAGACTGGACATGAATTACATGCGTCTCATAATTTCGTTCAAGAACAGTGCTTTGATCAAAGTAATTGAGTGCATCAATTGAAAATTACATCGCAGCACTCCTGTTGGAATTGGCACAGCATGCAATAGATGACTTCCCAAAATGCTGTAAATTGCTGCATTACTGCAGATTGATGACAGTTTGAATGCTTACGTAATCCTTTTGCATGTGTGTGTGGTATGCATATACCTCACATTCTGCATCGGCTACATGATGACTATAGTGAATGTTACCTGGCACTTTCAATTATTACTCTATTCCTGTCCAGAGGGACAGCAGACTGATGCGAATATTAAAAATCCTATCCCTAATCTTGAGCTTTTTAAAGTTGAGGTGTTCCATAATGGAGGTGGCTGGTGAACTAAGGTGGAAGAACGTCAGCATTTAAAATTCAGATTCCTAAGTTGTAAGAACTAAACCCTAATTTTTTTTAAACGCCGGTTTATGTACCATTTTTCCCAACGGAAAAAGAAAAAAATTCACTCAGTAGAACTCCGATGTGTGAAATTACCGTTCGTTATGTACAATATTGCTGACCAATTATTTATTGAAACTTTGCGTCTCAGTTACCTTCTCTCTGATTGAGAACGTCGCAACTACTGTAATTTTCTGTTTCATTCCATGAACTCAATTTAAGAACTCCATCCCCAATTGGTTCATAAAATTGGGGTTCTACTTCAGTTTGTATAGATTTTTGCGCTTAATCGCTTTATTCCCTCGCATGGGAAGCCGGAGAACGCAATAGAGCTTCATTTATCGTGACGTTATATTTTCATTTCGCTGCATCAACGTGATCGCATCGAGAATTCTTATCGGGGGCTTCCTTCCTTTCTCAGCAAAACGAGGATACTGTGATCCAGATCGAGGAGAAGCGGACGCACATCTTCTGCGAGGACGACGCTCGGTCCGACCTCCGAGCGAAGTTAAATCGGATCATCATGAGCTCGCTCAACAAATTCTGATCTCTTGTAGCTCTCGCGGACAAAAGAAAATCGCATATATTTCTCAAACACAGAAAATCGTGTTTCATTCACTGGACTGCGTGCTCGCTTGCACGGGAAGCCCACCTGAAGGTTGACGTGCTAGCCGTTGCTTAGCGGTCCAAAAAATACGAACTTAAAAAGCTTAAGCTACGAAATGGCAGACGACTTTGGTGCACCGGGTTTATAAGTTGGGGCGCGAAGAAAATTATGGCATTAGGTTGGTTTCAAAGTAAGGCCAGCCTGACGCAATCGATCTAAGACAATTTGCAATCTATCGTGTTCTGAAAACGTACGGCTGGGAACAATCACGTCCGAGATAAATGAGACAGATTTCCACAGATAATCAAGGAGTAGTCTTCCATGGCACGTTGAAATGTCGCCGGTCCATTTTCCAACACAAACGGCATTACTTGTTATTCATACAGGCCAAAGTGAGTGCTGAATGCAGTTTTCTTCTGATCTGCCTCGGCCACTGGCATTTGCCAGTAGTCACTAGCAAGGTCACAGGCTGAAAAGTATGCTGCGCTTGATAACGAATCAAACGAATCGTCAATTCTCCGCAACGCGCAACCATATTTCACTCTGGTATCGTTCAATTCACTTGACTCAAACAACTCAAAATGCCCACGTCCCGTCTTTTTTCCGCACTAGGATCACAGATGAGCTCTACGGGCTCATTGACGGTCTAATAATGTCCTGCTCTAGCATTTCCTTCACCTGTTGCTTTATGATATTTTTCTGATCGTTGGATACTCGACGAGGAGCTTATCGAAAGGGCGGAGCTGCATCCGTAATAATGACGTTCGATGCCTTTGAGATCGGCCGATGCGTGCTCCTTCGAATGCGAACGAATTCCTGCGAAGAAAGTCACTCATTTCGATGCACTGGGCGTCTGTTGGTCCGACTGTCTGAAATTTGGAGTCGAGAGCAAGTTGAGTCTCTGTTCTTCACTCCATTGGTCTAAGTCATATACGCCGGTAAGAAATTGTCCAAAATCTTCGTCCATTTTGTAGATTGGGGGGCGCAAAGTAAGAGGAGCGATATTCACCAGTGAGAGTTTCAATTCTCGCTATCTTGGTGATGCATTTCAGGAAGTATTGGCACGGATAATAATAATAATAAAAAAACACCAAATCAGAACACTTTCCAATAACTAAATGATTCTATGATCACTGGTATAATTACTCCGTCTGTGAGAAGTGAGCTTTCAAGTGACTAAAAAACAAACGAGGGAGCGGGATTGGATTATATTTCATCATTATATCGGGGGGCGATTTTCGGTGAAGATCTAAGTAGTATGCTATCGAACATCGATATCGCTTTTCGTACACAGAATCACGGGGAGGCCTTACAGGACTGCATGTGGACGGGACACCCAAGTACGGTGGAGGCAGCCTGATGTATTCGGGCTGCATGGCGGCCAAGGGAGTCGAATATGGCTGTCGAAGAGTAGGTGGAATGGATGCCAAGCTGTATACAAGCATCCTCCACGACGACTTGCTCCCAACAATTTAGTATTAACAACTCGATGTGGAAAAAGGTAGCGTTTCGGCAGGACAATGATCCGAAACACACCTCGCGGCTGGACCGCCAATCGTTCCAGGACTACGAAATAGAGGTCCTAGAATGGTCAGAACGTTCGCCAGACCTCAACCCGAGAGAAAACCTGTGACAACACAAGAAGTGGAGGCTGGCAGCGTACGAAAAAGAGTCAGCCTGCGTTTATGAGTTGCGTGAGCGGGTTAAGACAAAGTGGGACGCCATTTCAGTTCAAACATGCTTGGACACGATCGAGAGCATGCCCAGAAGGTCCAAGCGGGGTTCAAGATTAAAGGAAAAGAAACTAAGAATAAATAAATCCGATTTATGCATGCCTGAGTGTGAGGAACAAAACTATCAATGATCTAGTTCGATTTGAACAGCTGTAGCTCAGCTAATAAGAGGACAGTTCACAACCAACCGGCACCAATCGAAAGCCAGGAATTAGTAGTGATATTGGTTGAAATTTGAATTGAATTATGTCATCCTCGAGTTATGAGTCTTTAAGTGGAACTGTACCAAACATTGACATAGTTATGTCCCTCAATGTATTTTATTGCTCAATGCAAGCATATTATAGAAATAGTGATGAGTCAAACGTGAGATATGCACAGGTCTGGTTGTTTAACCAAGATCCCCATCGCTGTAATTTCAGTCATATCTTTCGTTTGGGAATTTGCGGAATTCAAAAGTTCAACAAAATGCACAGACATGAAAAGTAAAAGTAACAACACGATTAATGCATCAATGGAAAGCGCTTGGAGAGAGCTTTCATTTGACACTAGCTACAAGTTTATATCTTGCTTAAAACAGGAGGTGCGAACCGCCAAATTTGGTGAAAATAGGCAATTTTGGACTTTTCAAGTTGAATTTTAAATTTGTTTTAAAAAAGTAGGAAGTTGAAATTTAGTTCTTGAATTGCCACTGTCTTAGTCTACAATGTCGCGAAAGCACATTGTATTACCTTATATCCTAGTGCTAAAAATTTGAGTGCAAAAATCGGGAATATTTACAATTTTGAAATTGCGTAACTCAATTTGTAATAAACGTAGTAGAAAATGGATTTAATGATGCGATCCTACATTGCCTTAGCTTTACTTAGAGTCCAAAAATGCGTTTCTAGCTCGACTAGGACCAAAGATAGCTCTTCAACCCAAAAGGCCACCTTTCCTCTTGGAGCGAAGTTTGGGGCTGCATATCTCGAGATCCGTTAGAACCGGAGAGCAAAAAAATTTTTATCCATTAGTCTTAATTGCCAACATGCAATAATTTTCTCAAGCAAATCGGAGACTGAAGCCCAACCACCCCTTGATCACTCGAGCCAGAATGCCTCTGCTTCTAGAGTGAAAAAAAAAAAACTTGCACACCCGAGGACCGGCACGAAACACCTGCGTATCCAAGCAGAGCTCGACCGTGAAAGTGGATGGTCGGCAACCAGCCAGACGAGGGACACAGAAGCCAGACATGCGACTTTGGACTTTCCAATGGAGTACTTTCAAGCAAGAACAAGTCTATACCCGCACTCTTCAACCTCGGGCTACGTTCACACTCCCTTTACTTGTTAGTGAGCGGTGTTCTATTATACGGCCTTAATTAATACTGATCCGTTCCATATTTTGTTGATATAAGTGTCTTACACGAGGGAGGGAGAGGTGGATAACCAAAAAGGACATCGTTTACACAGCTCGAGGCAGGCAGCCGAGTTTTTCGATATCCAGTTCGGTAACCTCCGTCCAGGACTTGGGTATCGAAATAAAACCCGCTTGTCAGCCGATCAGTGTGTACCAGTATGTGAGGCCCGTTTTGGTTATGTGACTCTCCCCTCATGTAACTTACTTCTCCAATTAAATGAATCGCTTGGCACCGAGAAAACAAGGGCAAGTGGAACCCTCACGCTCGCAATAAGAAATGCGAGTCTCTTGCATGCACTCCACTCTAAACCCCCCCCTCCGAAGTGCGTGAAGGTCATATTTCACTTCTGAAAGTAACATTACGAAATGCCGTGCTTCTGCCTGGTCTACTCTTTCAGCTCTCGTTGGGGTTCGGATTGGAGTTCTTACTGCCTCTAATCCTAGCTCCATATCTGACAGGCATGGAGTCTATACCAGATGGCCCAAAAAATGTTGCGAAATGTGTACGATTCCAGACGGGACACCATGCAAAGTATCGTCGTGAAGTTTCAGTGTGTCATGCCCAATAGACTTCCTTGCCAAGTGGAACCACTCTCTCTCCATGCAATGTGCAAGAATTGCCAGGAGCCTTCTTGAGCTACGTCTCTCGACGAATGAACTAATTGGAATGACTTCCTTCGGCTTGTACATAGGAAATTATCGAGTAGAGAATGAGCGCTTTCGCAGAACAATTCATTAGCATGAGCAAACCATATCTTCCCTTCGGCGGTAAAGTTATAATTTTGGCTGGCGACTTTAGGCAAATGCCACCAGTTATTAAGTACGGGTCAAGAAACGACCTAATTGATGCGTCAATAAAGTCATCCCCGCTCTGGACAAAGGTGCTGTCGTTCCTTTTAACCAAGCCCCAAAGATCAAAGGGTGATCCTGATTTTTCTGACTTCGCTTCGGCTGCTGGGGAGGATCGTATTGGGAAGGTTAAAGTTGCCGAAGTCGTCGAGGAAATACACCTGATACCGTTCGTTCGCATAAATGGGGTCGATACATCAAACGCGCTAATTGATTTCGTATGTCAATATCTGTCATAAACAATCCTTATGCATGCAGTGCAAGGTCCATTTTATTGGGAACAAATAATAACAGATGAAATCAACCATTTAGTGCTCAATAGACTGGATAGGGAGTCTGTCAACTTCCGGAGTGCTGATAAGCTGGTTTGTGATGAAGGAAATCCTGGTGCTATACATTTTAATGCTGATCTGCACTCACTCACTGAGCCCAGTGTTTCCGACTTTGAAAGAACACTGTATTGTTATAAGAAACCTCTCTTTTCAAGATCAAATAGTAAATGGCGCGAAATTATTTATCAAGATCTCAAGGCTACTAATTGAAGGATAGAATCTTGCCGAAAAGAGCGGCGATCACGAGCACAGAATAATACTAATTCCTAGAATCCCATTCGAATTCCAAGCTGGTCGGTCTAGTTTAGAAATAATGAGAAGAAAATTTCCGTTGGAGTTGGCGTAAGCTCTCGCACAAATCACAGGGGCAAACATCGGAGACCGTTGGGCTGGATTTACGCCGTTTAACCTGTAATGCGAGCCGTTGGAGCCCCTAAAACCGGTTTCTGCACAGATCTGACAAGGGACACTACCCAAGTGATAATTTCAGTTTTTCACCAGACTTTGGTCATTGAAAGGACTCACAAAACGAAGTCAAACGGCACCAAAACTTGCTACTGAAACTGGAGAAAATTGAGATGTGACCAATGGCTCGGTTGGAACTTGACATTTTTCGGATGCTTCCAGACGTCGAGCACGGGAAAGTGCA